GTACGATGCTTCGCCAGGATATTCAATACTTTGACCGGGAAGAACACACTGCAGGTGCTCTCACATCATTCTTGAGTACTGAGACGACTCACGTTGCAGGTTTATCTGGAGTCACATTGGGTACGCTCTTGACAGTCATTACTACCCTTATCGCCGCATGCGCTCTCTCTCTCGCTATCGCCTGGAAGTTGGCACTTGTGTGTATCGCCACTATTCCTGTTCTATTGGGCTGTGGTTTCTTCAGATTCTGGCTCTTGGCTAGATTCCAACAAAGAGCGAAGAAGGCATATGAGAAGAGTGCAAGTTATGCTTGTGAAGCTACTGGTGCTATCCGAACAGTTGCATCCTTGACTAGAGAAGATGATGTCCTCGCTCACTATACCGATTCCCTCAAGGCTCAAGAACAAAAGAGTCTGAGATCAATTTTGAAATCTTCGTTGCTTTACGCTGCATCTCAATCTTTGATGTTCCTCTGTGTTGCACTTGGATTTTGGTATGGTGGCCAACGCATTGCCAACAAGGAATACACTATGTTCCAATTCTTCGTCTGTTTCTCGGCTGTCGTCTTTGGTGCTCAATCTGCTGGAACCATCTTTTCCTTCGCACGTAAGTCATTCTATCTATCTATCATCTGAAGTATCATGCTAATAAACCGTAGCGGACATGGGTAAAGCCAAGCAAGCCGCCCAGGAACTCAAGATTCTCTTCGATCTCACACCTACCATTGACTCTTGGTCTGAGGATGGAGAGCGTATGGAATCCATGGAAGGATATGTTGAGTTCCGTGATGTTCATTTCCGCTACCCCACTCGTCCGGAACAGCCAGTTCTCCGTGGTCTTGACCTTCAAGTCAAGCCTGGACAATACGTTGCCTTGGTTGGTGCCTCTGGTTGCGGTAAATCCACCACCATCGCTCTTCTCGAACGTTTCTATGATCCTCTCGTTGGCGGTATCTATGTCGATGGCAAGGAAATTTCCACTTTGAATATCAACGATTACCGCTCGCACATTGCTCTCGTATCTCAAGAACCAACCCTTTACCAAGGCACGATCCGTGAGAATATGCTTCTTGGAGCCGACCGCGAAGATGTTCCTGACTCCGAAATCGAGTTCGCATGTCGTGAAGCTAATATCTACGATTTCATCATGTCACTTCCGGATGGATTTTCCACAATCGTTGGTTCCAAGGGTAGCATGTTGTCTGGTGGTCAGAAACAAAGAATCGCTATTGCTCGTGCTTTACTTCGTGATCCTAAAATATTGTTGTTGGATGAGGCTACCAGTGCTTTGGATTCGGAGAGTGAACATGTTGTGCAAGCAGCATTGGATAAGGCAGCAAAGGGAAGAACTACAATTGCTGTTGCGCATAGATTGAGTACAATTCAAAAGGCGGATTGTATCTATGTTTTCGATCAAGGAAGAGTTGTAGAGAGCGGTACACATACAGAACTTATTCACAAGGGAGGTAGATACTCGGAGTTGGTCAACTTGCAAAGTTTGGGAAGACACAAGTAAAGAAATTATGGGACTTTGGGAGACAACGGGAATGTTCGATATGAAAAAGGGATTTGAACTTTTTTAAAATGCATATTAATGGTTGCAGATGTGATCAGCGTTACGCAGAGATACCTCATGGGAGTTTATACCTCTTTTTCACTTTCTAATGGGGTCATGAGACCATAGATAGAAAAGGGTCTTTTTTGGCAATGCCATGGCGTTTTGGGAGATGGGGCGGTTGGGCCGGGGGATTATATTAGGCTTGAGCTTTATGGCTTGATATAAGACGGGATTGGAATTTGATTATAGATTTGGAGGGGGAGATGATAGATAAGGGGATACATGATTGGAAACGTGGATTGATTGATTGATTGATTGATTCATGATGGAATGGGATGCAATGTGGTTTGATAGAAATATATCTGATGATCACACTACTCATTACTTTTTTACATAGTATAGAATAGAACCAATTTAAAATACATCTTCTCTTTATAAATTGGGGCATGGATTTGTATGATTGTGTGATTTGGTGTGGTGTGATGATGATGATGACGAGAAAGAATTACTAGATAGGTAGATCATCAATCTAGCTAGCTTTGGAGAATCATTAGCTTATTAAGATTATCTCTCTCATTTGAAGATGAAGATGAAGATTTGGATTTGAATAGAGATTGAGATTGAGATTTAGATTAAGACTTCAATTGAGATTTACAGAGGCGGGGACGGGGACGGGTGGAAAGATCTGTGAGGAGGGTTTGAATTGTAAGATTAGATAGATAGGCTATAGGTGCTCGGCTCGAACTGAGCATCGCTCTTTTAATCGCCCGCTATTCATAATCTAGTATTGCGTTGCTAGGAGTTGAGTTCTGAGTTCTGAGTGTGTTCAATGTATACGTTTTGAATATGTTATCTAGTTTACTACTATATTGTATTGGATTTCATCTCCGGGATGCTGGGGGCTTTAGGATCACCAGGATGGTGGGGGCTTATTCGATATCTATCTATTTACTAGGTAGGTATACATACCTACACTAGAGAGAGCATTACCATCTACATATTTCTTTTCTCCTCGCCAAATCGTATCGATTCCAAACAAGTACGAGAAACCCCCATTCCCAGAATGAATAAACGGATAATACATACAATATATCTACCTCTCTCATCATCCCACAGAATAATAAACCCATGAAATCCCCGAGAACGAATAATCTCATCATATCAAGAGAGAGATCGTGAATATCCATCTATATTAATCAACTACAGAGGATTCAAAGCCAGATCTGTTGAATATGTCAACAGATGAGGGTGATTGTCGTTTATAGGTCAATGTAATATACATCATCTATCATATAATTAAAGCGAGCTCCAGATATCCAGCTGGTCGCTCACAAGTTACCACTCCAATCCCTCTTCGAGTTCCAAACCCAGTTCAAATCGCTATATACAAGAACCATTCTCTTCTTTAATCCTCCTCGCACACCCGCAACTCGCTTCAAAACCTCAGAGCCCCCAACCAAGATCTCTCTCCCTAACTCCCTCTGCTCACCAGTTCCTTTCCTTATATTTCTCCATCCCCCATCATTATTTGCCTCCAATCCCCTCACCCCCTTTCTTCCAAAACCTCTTCCAAATATCAAAATTAACTCTATCCCTCTCCTCCATCCTCTCCATCCTCTCCATTGCCCTCCTCACCTCCTCCACTTCCCTCACAAAAATCATCGTATGTCTTTTCTGCACGCCCATTCCCGCTTTGATTCTCCCTTCATATTTGTATGGAGTAGTTTTCGTTCTTTTGATCTCTGCTCTTTCTTTTCCTGTCAGTCCCATTGTATTCTCTTCGTCGTATGGTTTTTGTTTTCTGTGGTCCGTAGATTGAGATGCATGAGAGGGATGAAATGGATAGGAAGGATTGTAAGCATCAGGAATCGGATTTTCTCGTCCATCATTTGTATAGATCGATTCCTCGTACATTGAATACCATTCTCCCTCCCCCTCATCATCCCCTTTTCCAACTCTCATGCCCGGTCTGATTACCCAGTTATCTTTACTCCCCCTCTCTTGCCTCGCAGACCTCGCAATCGATCTCATAGATTTCTCATCCCACTCTCTTCCACCCCCAATAAAACTTTTCGCATAACCTTCCTCCTCATCTCTACCCCATCCCACCCCACTATCAAAAGACATACTCCTCGAGTACCTCGACTCCGAGTATGCCGAAAAGTCACTCCTCCTTCTATCACTCGCTCTAATATCCTTTGAAAAATACGCCGGATCAGGGATTGTGGGTAAAGGTTTCTTGTCTAATTTCTCATTCCGTCGAGAGTAGTATTGCGAAGAGCCAGATTGCCGTCTCCCATTTAATTTCAGGAATCTATTCCTCAATATCGAATTCTGGATACGGGAGGAAAGAAGGAGGATGTCGATTAGAGCTATGATGAGAAATATAGCGACAGCAACTGCGACTAGTATGCCGATGATATAGCCTGGGTCTAAACCTTTTGATGGAGAGGCAATGAGATGAGGTTCAAGACCGGGTGGACTTGTGGATGAAGATGTGGAGGGGATATTATTACTATTTTTGGTTCCATCATTATTTGTAGATTGAGGTGTGCCGAATGGACTGTCCTGACTCTGATCTTCGTCTCTTCTATTCATGTTGCTTTTGAGAATTTCAAAGGGAAATCTATATCCTCCATCTAGCATCGTAGAAAAAAAACATTAGAAATTTGATGAGTCGTTAGCTAGCCCATCAAGGGCGCTTTACAAAGTGAACTGGAAAAGAAAAAATTGAGTGAACAAAAAGATGCAAAAGTCAAGAGATCAATCAATAGACGACAATGACAGACAAACTTGTCGATTCGCTCCATACTCGCACTTCTTACCCTATTCGTCAGTGCTAACGAGAAGCAAAGTAAAAATATAATTCTCCTACCAAATACATAAACCATAATGCACTTTCATTAATCAAACTCCACGTAAGAAGTCTTTAATGCAATTCTCTAAAGCAGTTCGTTATGGGACGAAAATCTACTATTCAAACAATAAACGAAACATATCGTGAGAGAGATCGGAAATTTTATATCTGACAGGTGGATTTTAATTCGTCTTTGAAAGCTTTGGCATGAATAGATGAGATGCTAAACTGTTTGAAAAGGACCTTGCTCCTCAAAAGGCATCGAGCGAACCATGCGCCGGAATGCACAGACTCCGCCTTGTCCGCTCCGTCAGCAAATAGGAGGGGTCGAAAAGTCAAGACGACTGTGCACTGTCATGCAATAAGTAATAATATCATGCTATTATACTGTGTTGCTACAGACACGATGAGTTTCGAAGCGTCCGTGATTTTTGGGGCGAGACCTATGTGTGGTGGAAACTTTTTCAGGGTAGCTTTTCACTATCCGCACAAGACTTTTGCTTATCCATCCTCCAAGTTTCTTAAAAGACATCCCTCTTGTTGGCCTTTTGCAATAATTTCATGCCAAAGATTGACAATAATCGAGATGCCTAATAGACCATCCTTCCAATTTCGATCCATGCATTCAAATCAGTCCACTTGTTCAAATCAAGGTGGTCGATGTGAGTCAACTGGTAACGACGGCGCGCGACACGACTTGAGCATGAGATCTACCGTAGATACGAATCTTACGAGATCCTTTTCTGTTAGCAGTGAAATAGTCATGCAGAGAAAAATATTGCAAAAGAACAAATTCTTCAAACAATATGGTATTGTGCCATACTCTGCAAAGTATATACAGCAACAAACATATCGAAGCAAAGATAAAACGCTAATGATATAAAGCACTGAGCAGAACGAGGAGAATAGTATGACATGGCGAAGTCAGCCAATAAAAAAAGGGGCCGCATGGTTCAAGGGAATGAGAAAGAGCAAACCAGTTGATAGCCTTATCACTCTGAAAGACTCTTCCATTGGATTGCTCCGTTCCGGTCGTGAATCTCCTCGTGGATACGCAAAGATGTTCGATGGGGATGTTTTGAGATCGAGTATAGAACAATAACATGGCTACATAGGTAGCGGAGACGAGATCAATCTCGCCCAAGTAACAAAGTTTGTACGCTGACCTAGCATCAAATATGTCGTCACTAACAGAGTACAGGAGGATGCCACGCATCTGTTTCGTGATTTCATACTCCGAATCCCGATACAATTGACATTTGCTTTTATGATACCAGGAGTTCGGTGATTTATTTGGTTTCATTTGATTTACGATTCATTTGCCTCGTCCGACAACTGGCGGGGAGGACGAAGGTTAGACAGATAGAACTAGGAGAATAGTAATTGACTGGAATGATCGAAGTAAGATACCGTCGGCTATATAGATCAATTGTCTCATTTTCATTTTTTCGAATTTTCGAATTTTTTTTAAAGAAAAATATTAATATTTATTTAATTTATTCTATAATATAAATATTATTAAGATTTATATAATTAATTAGAAAAAGATTATATTTAATATAATAAAATAATTATTAAAATATAAAATAAAATAGATGTATATAAATTATTTATTTTACTCTTACTTTTTTACTTTTTTAAAAAAAAATTCAAATTTGTTTTTAAATCTTTTAAATCTTTTAAATCTTTTAAATCTTTTAAATCTTTAAATCTTTTAAATCTTTTAAATCTTTTAAATCTTTTAAATCTTTTAAATCTTTTAAATCTTTTAAATCTTTTAAATCTTTTAAATCTTTTAAATCTTTTAAATCTTTTAAATCTTTTAAATCTTTTAAATCTTTTAAATCTTTTAAATCTTTTAAATCTTTTAAATCTTTTAAATCTTTTAAATCTTTAATTTATTTGATAATATATAATAAATTAAATAAATATTAATATTTGAAAGTTTCAAAAAGAATAAAAAAAGTAAAAAAGGTGAAAAAGTCGAAAACTCGAAAAGTCGAAAAACGAAAAATGAGACAATTGATCTATATGACCGACGGTAGTAAGATATCGGGAATCTTCAAAACCACTGCAATTTCAAAGCGACAAGTGCCCGAGCTTTTGAGACGTACCGATGGTGGGACGTCTAACAGTTTGTTCAAAATTCAAACATAGGAAATGAAAGTAGACCTCAACAACAATACCGATGAATGATTTTTTGCAAAAAATTAACTTCTAATTGAAAGATTCAAAATCGAGTTGAGTAACATGTGAAAACAACTAAAGGCCGTCGTTCCAATATCCTGCTTCCTCGCGCACGTTGCTCGGGCTTCTCCGTAAAACCTTGAACTATTTCGGTCAGCTAGCACAGACTGTAACTGTAGATCAGGCACAAGCAATGTAACAACTCATTGTGCGCGGTCATATTCGACGAAAACTCGTATGCTCTCTTCATCCAAGATTAAAGATGTTCTAGGAATCACAACCGACATTAAAGTCCAATGCCATGATATGTAAATTAATGCTGTTCAGAAGTTGACAAATGATTGTAGATCTCAGTTGCAATTATATAATAGAAACTAAAAGGTCGCATGATACCTTCCTGATTCGATAAGAATCTCTTCCAGTTTACGCGTAGCAACTAGGATGATTTCCGATTCGATTCTTGAAAATGAAGATTTGATTCGTGCCGTGAATAGAAATCAACACAATATGTTAGGACCCAGCACGGGATTTTCATTAGGGATCTGTTGGGAGTTCCGAAAGTGTACACTTGCACAGACTTAGGAGGGCCGATTGATTGTTGGTGGTGGTGGTGAATCTTTTGCTTCAATTTAATTTGTCAAACAACATTGGGGAGGTTTTAGTTTCAGTCTCTTTTGTCCTTGTCAGCGTCAACCAGACTCTTGTTTATGTATGTACGCTGCGAAGCCTTGCTTCAAAGGAAAATATAATGTCAAATCTTTGGTATTCGGATGAGTGCATGCATTCGGAGAGTATTTCTGTTGCAAAAATGTTGCGAGGGGGAAAGAGGGGGAATTTTTCTCAAGAGAAGCAATAGCTTGAATTCGGAAATTCGGTAGGAAAAGTGACCCAGAAACTTTGGTGGCTCGAGTGGCTTGAGTGATAACTTCTTACTTGTAAGTAAGATCAGATGCCAAAAAGATGTCTTCCTCGGTATCGGAAGAAATTTGCCGATATGGTTAGTAAAGTGTAGTGTAGTATAGGTTGGTTGGCGTATTACCCCAGACTGTGCATAATCATCCTTGTCATACCCCAGAATCTCCAGACTTTGCCCCAATCAAATTGAATCCAATAAATATTCCCGCCTCTAGATTTTTCGTAGTATAATAAGAGGAATACGAACTTTGAGTATTGGCCACAGTTGAAATAGGTGAAATGGTAGGTGCCATTGGAACGCTCTTTCGGCAGTAAATGTTAGTAATGTCGTTCCTGCATCACAATGAGAGGTTTGCCTCTTAAATTTGATTGATCGATAATAGCCATGTCCAATCACTGCGACACATTGCCCTAAGTATGTAACAGTTGCTATATCTTTAGTGGATATGTCGGACGCCCCCCTGGCCGTAATTCAAGCTGGGAGCTTGTTGATCCTGCTTTCCGATCGAACAGCGTTCTCCGCACAAGTGGTCGGGTTTCTCCAAGCTGACTCGATACCCTGTTTGTCGCTCGTTGGCACCATTGACGGGCATTGTTACGGAATAGGAAACGAGTTGTTGGTTGTCTCTTGGCTGGTCATTTACTGCAGAGTGTGGAGTAATTCGACATTATAGAATATCTTCCTAAATTGACTCTCGTATTAGACTTGTTCACAGATATATAAGTGCGGTCATCTGCAGTTCTGGGTGACTTACTTCTCCAACCGTCTTTCAGAATCAAACATCAAGACTCTCTGTATATCGTCAATCATTTTTGTTGCCAACCACTCGTTTTAAGGCAATCCTTATACTAAAGTAACCATCAAAATGCAATTCACCATCGTCTCAGTCTTGGCTCTTGCCAGCTTGGCTCTTGCTCAAGACAGCGGAATTCCAGCTTGTGCACAATCTTGTATCGACAAAGCAGTTAAATCAGAGACCACCTGTGGAGCTACTGATAAAGCTTGCCAATGTCTACCTGACAACGTCTCGAGTATTCAAACTGCTGCTACAAACTGTGTCATCAGTTCCTGCGGTATCACCGTCGCTTTGAGTAAGTAGTATATTTTGATCTTCAAATCGACCCAACTGACTTCAGTTTAGCCGTTCCAGCTGCCGCAGCTTCCGCATGTTCTGCTCTTGCACCAACTTCTGCTAGCTCTGCTAGCGCTGCTCCATCTTCTTCGGTTGTCGAACCCAGCAGCTCTGCTGCCGCTCCTTCATCTTCTGCCGAGTCGTCAACTGTGGTCTCTTCCACCGCCGCCTCCACTCCCGTCTCTTCCCAAGTCTCGACTCCAGTATCGTCTGTTGTCGCCACCACAATTACTTCGGGCGTAGCTGCACCAACTGGTGGCTCTGGATCCAACGCTACCGCTACCGGTCCATCACCTACCTCAACGACTGTTCCATTCACCGGCGCTGGATCCCAAGTTAAAGCTAGCTTTGCAGGTGCTCTTGCTCTTGGTCTCGCCGCTGTCTTTGCCTTCTAAGTAATCGGATGAATGATAAGGATAAGAGGGTTGTAATAATGATGAAATGTTAAGGTTTGGACGGCTTGGAAAGTTTGGAATAGGAACTGGACTGGAAGCTGGAATAGGAAATGAGATTGATGTGCATGACCGCTGGGTGTTTAAAAATTAATTCTTCCCACTTAATATTGTAATGGCTTACCATTTTAACTTCACCACAAAATCAATGCATTTGAAAACAACTATGCATCTTATTGTGCACTCTGCAATGTGCTGAGATAAAGCGGAATAAATTTGTAAAGGAAGAACCAACTGAGTCTTAGAGATGGGAATCCCATGTACTTTATATACTTCTGCGTCGAGGTCCAGAGATCAATCACGCAAGAAACCATATCGATGGCGATAAAGCCGCGTTATCTCTCAAGGGGGAGGTTCCCTTCGACATTCGTCCATCCATGTCAAAAAGCTTCGATGTTTTCTGCGATGAAACCAACTCTTTTCGGTGGAAGCGGTTGAAACTGTGATAGTACCATCTTGGAGCTTCTCAATGCTCCAGCTTGCTTCGGTGATACAGAATGGAAAACGTTGTGAAGATAAGGAGGATAAGATATTACTGCGCTAGGCCCAATGAAGCCTTAGTGGACAGTCTCTGCTTGGGAGAAAAAAGAGGCCAAAATTGATCACCCTAATAAATTCTATAATAAATCAATAGATAATAAAAAAACAAAAATTAATGATACCTAATAAATCCTTGAATAATCTTCAATTATAAAAGTATTTAAACATTTAATTCTCTGAATTAGAATGGAACAATAGGATTATTCAAGGGCTTTGCCAGTGGTCAATTCCGGCCTGTTTTTCCTCCTACGAAGAGACAGTCACCTGTTTCCTAGGTACTCACCAACAATATCCAACCCCTCATTCACCAGTAATTTTGTGATTTATTTCTGCGATGAAATCACATATTTCTGCGATGTACCGGAAACCCCAAAAAGTGGCACCTAAGTAAAGCGAAAAGAGAAGACTACTTCACAGCACCTAGCCTTGTTGTGAGGTGCTTTCGCCTCCCCGTCATCATATACAAAGCGTCAAAACGACCGACCTATTAATGCTACACTTTGATGATAGCAGAATTAGACTCTGCATTCTTACTCGTCGGCTAACATTTCGCTTACCTGATGGCTTGCGTTCGGTCCCGTCCAGACCTCGATTTATCACTAGAGAAGTTGATTCTGGGTCAATGAGCAGAAACCCTGTTGTGGCAGGAACTTTGGTGGCAAGAATTGCTCCAACGCATATCTGCGGTTATTCCTAATATACAGACGAAAGAAACGAATTCGTTCTGTCGTCAGAGTAAGGTTAATGCGTCAATGTATTCGTCAACCTTAGGGGCCCCACAGCAGAAACTCGATTCCAAGGTCTTCTGTTGTTTGGCTCACAAGTCCATGGAATGATAGGGGAATTCTTGAAGAGACGGGAGTAAGACATCTACAGAGATTATCGTTTTAAACTCTTGGTGCCCTTGATAATAGTGTCAATCTCATGATAATATTAAAGGACCAAGTGGCTCTGACCTATGACTCAAGCTTTCTTTCTTAATTATTAAACTTGCTCAGATGTAGCCTTTGCCTCCTCATACTCTGTTAATTCTTCCTCTATTTCTTTGCATCGGTGAAGATTTCAGCCTTGTACCTGATGCTGTCTTTTTGCTCTCTTTTTTGTTTATGGTTTCTCCGGAATTCTCTGTGGTATTCCAGATGCTTCTACTGAATTGCCCTTCTTTCGCAAGTGCGAAAATTTGTGAGGCTGCGAATCAATATTTCAAATCATAAAGGTATACAGTTTAACAGCTGTGCTGTCTCAGTCAATGCATGGTACAATCTTTGTTATCCCAAATTATTCCATACTACCACTGCTTGTTCATTTGAATCATTCCACATAATAATACTCTGTTACTCGGATTACCTACCACAGCGACCCTGAACCAAACCCTCTCATCTTCAGATCCAATTGAGAATAAGCATTCCCTATCATCAGGTTCTGTATCAAATCCCTTATACCCCAAAAATGCATGCTATATTTCACAAGAGTGTTGTGGACAGTCTCTAGATCAATATCATGCATTCATTCTTGCTACCGCGGAAACACATACATTCACGACTTTCAAAATCGCGAGTGAGAGGCTTATTTCGGGTTTGACAGGTGAACTTAGAGCGAATCGAGGATGGGGTTGATTTGAGAGCAACTACTGAGATGGTGGATATAGTAGTGCATCGAAGGATGGAAAAAGGGGTCTGGAAAAGTAGACTAGGACAAAGCTGTTGGTAATAGCATAACATGTGCAAGTGATACAAATTAGGTGGTCAAAACAATGACGTGTAATTCCCACTAAAGAATTCGCGAAAATGTTGCTTCAGTTCATGTATTCAAGACTGCATGTATTGAAATTGGCTTGTTCGTTTGATCATCAGTTGTCTGCCATCTCAAATATTTTGGGACCTTAATGCGCTATCATTTAGGAGAAAATCAAAAATCCAATGATTTTTCTTCAATTGAAAACAAATTGTCAGAGCCCAACTTTCAAAGTTATTTGAAGCATTCTCTCTTGATATGCCCCGATTTTGGTCACTCTTCTTGCTTTTAGTGGGGATAACTCAACATCTTTGAGAATCATCCAGAATGTGTGCCAGGAGGTCTGCTTGTATTCTCTGGTGGCAGATTCCAAATCAATATAATGGTCGGTATAGTCAGACCGCTCCTAACTCTGATTCTTTGACGAACTGAACCGGAATTGGGCGAAGAATCCATAGGAGCGTGAATTTTGCATAGATTTTAGCTCCGTCCATCAAGTCCGAGACCGCCTATAATGCTAATTGCTCAGCTCCACTGGAACCTCAGGATGCCATTTCTTACGCTGTGGCTTCACCCACACACAGGAAGATACATCCGAATGTCTAAATTCATATATTTTGTTGTCATTGAATATATTTCGAGAGTTTAGACATTAATTGACATGACGAGTTCCTTTGGATAAGCTTTTTGTTAAGTTCTGAATGCTTATTGGCAATATTTAGATGATAGCATTAAGATCCCCGTGTGGGCGAATTGCGTACCGGAGAGCAAATGCCCGAATTGTCTCTAAATTGTCTATGGCATACTAAGCATTCTGTGATTGATATGATATCAATGATTCTTGAAGGATTTAGCTTTAGGATAGATTCTATGCAGAGTATTGTCACGGATCAAAACCTACGCATTCCTTGTACCGATAATGTGAAGACAAGGAACATTCTCACGTCTTTCGAAGATACCAAAGGCTCTCAAGTCCTGGACAACTGATATCTCAAATCATCGCAGTTGAATTAGTCTGACGATAGCTTAACATGTAATGCTCCAACTTTGGAACGAAAAAGGCTGCGGGGTAATGCTCTACCTTGGATTGGACTACGCGAACAATGTTAAGGTTAAGGTTAACCGAATTCTAATGAAGGGGCTTACATGCGAACATCGTCTCTGGCTGTGATTTTTTCCGCGTTCTGTTTTCACTAGGATCTCTCCAGATTGAGCTTTCTAGAGAAATGGCTTTGATATTAGATATATGATTTTCACTTGCGAAATGGAGAAAGCTTAGATGGGCGATATGAAATTGCCCCATCCAATTACAATCATATCATAGTCTCTGATTATTCGTCTGCAACTCGAACAATGTGCTTTCAATCTAAAGTTTGTTCTGAAATTTTTTGAGTTACCCTAGTTAATCCGTGTCAATGTTGGATTCGAAATGGCGTGTCATCTTTACAGACCCAACTGTTTTAACATACTGCAGTAATCGTTGTAGACCTACATGCCGAGGATTCCCCCTCCCACAAGAAACATAACTGCATATTCATCACAAAAATATGCTCCATACAAATCTTCTAGGGACTCTGTCTTCCGTTCTCTACCCGCAGAGACGATAGATAGGTCTAGACCTACAGCACTCAGCTCGGAGTACGATTGTCTATTTGAATTCCCGAGAGATTCGGTGCAGATTCTGAAATGTTCAATAAGCGGTGAAAGGATTTCTTTTAGACTGGAAGTTAAAAGAGCACGCTGTCGATTCCACCAGTCAGCTCGGGTAAGGAATGTCGAAACTTGAGGTATTAACTCCCGCGTAATTTATTCCACTATCCAAGAATTATACCTCTTCCGTCCGGTTATCTCACGGTGTATCGCCGGCAGCTTTCAAGGGCCGGAAAGTTCGGGCGTGTTTTCGTCTGGGAAGATTGTGGGCTATTGTACAGTTCTTATTCTTTACATCAAAATTTCCATCAAGGTCATAACGCAGCGAAGATGGAATGAACTGGATAGGAAAGTTGTTGAATATATACCCTATCTGCACTATATTTACATTTGAGATTTGTATCAGCTCCTCGCTATTGCGGTGTTTCCGAATGTGGATATGCCATTCGGTATCAAAAGACAGAGTATACATCGTAGGTCTATTAATACAGATGAGCTTCGATTGAGAAAGCCGGAACTACTCTCTTTAAGTCTTCATTCCCCGTGTCCACGTTGCCGGATCACGAAGAACGATATAGGAATATATATAGAAAACCCGGCCATACAAGTGTTTCCTCGCATCGAGACTTCTAGAATCTCTAGCACAGAAATCTCATGGGAATTGCAAATTACTCAACCTTCAAAATAAATCTACAAACTCCTACTCATGAACTAGCTCATCAAGCCCGTACATATCTACCTATTCACATTCTCGTTCGAGAAATCTACCCATTCCTCCCAGAACAAAGAAATAAAACTAAAAATAGATTAACGGCAGGAAGTCATAAAAGACTATCGACAATGCGAACATTTATTTCCGCAACACGAAGATCAAAGCACATGAGAATCTCCTTCCGTAGGTATTCCAGCAACCGCATACCAAATTTCCCATACGAAGCAGCAAGCTAACAAAGCGCAACTAAACTTCAATACTTCCTCATAATATTTATCTAGTACAGTAGTTCAGACTGCGATATTCC